CCTGCTTAATTCAGGCCAGGAGCTTTGGCAGAGCCCGGCGGGTGCCACGACCGGCTCGTTTGGACGAGTCACCCCGGGAGCCGGGGCAGCAGCAGCGCCTGAGCTCGGACTTTGCCTTTGTTCCTCTTGGATGACTTCGGCCTTTTTTTTTTTTTTCCTGCCAGAAAAGAAACCAAAAGCTGAAGGCTCTTTTAGAGTCAAAATACTGTCTTCAGAGCAGGCATTTAATCACTGGACACCATTGATTTAACTAAACAAACATGCATTAGAAAGAGCCATAATTAAAATACACAGAATTAAAATTTACAAAAAAATGCCTGTGCCCTTAGTTCCCCTGAGATATGCTCAGATTAGGTAGATAAATTAATAACAGCTTAGGAAAATAGTGCTCCACTTCTCCAAACAGGAAGTGGGGAAAGTCAGAAGGCCTTGGAGCAGGGTTTCCATGTCTGGAAGCCCTTTGTGCTGGTCCTGCAGGAGCAGGGATGGACAGAGGGGAGCAGGGATGGGCAGAGGGGAGCAGGGATGGACAGAGGGGAGCAGGGATGGACAGAGGGGAGCAGGGATGGACAGAGGGGAGCAGGGATGGGCAGAGGGGAGCAGGGATGGACAGAGGGGAGCAGGGATGGGCAGAGGGGAGCAGGGATGGGCAGAGGGGAGCAGGGATGGGCAGAGGGGAGCAGGGATGGGCAGAGGGGAGCAGGGATGGACAGAGGGGAGCAGGGATGTGCAGAGGGGAGCAGGGATGGGCAGAGGGGAGCAGGGATGGACAGAGGGGAGCAGGGATGAGAAGAGGGGAGCAGGGATGGACAGAGGGGAGCAGGGATGGGCAGAGGGGAGCAGGGATGGACAGAGGGGAGCAGGGATGGGCAGAGGGGAGCAGGGATGGGCAGAGGGGAGCAGGGATGGACAGAGGGGCAGCTTTAGCAGCAGGGGGATCACTTCCATACAGGGCTACCAGGGCTGCACTGACAGACTGTTAGGGCATCTCAGCCCTGCTTCCCTGAAGTCTCCCAGCAACACATCTAAAACTCACCTGCCACACTCCCAGATCCTCCTGATGCCATTTGTTTTCTCCCCCCTCGATTCTCTGTCCTTGCTCACACTCTATCCTGCCAGCTCACTGGGTTCCTGCCAAAGGTCCCAGTGCTGCTTTACTGCCAGTGTTGCCCCCTGCACCCTCCCCATATTCAGCAGTACTGCTGATGAGTCTCAGTCTTCCCAGCTCATTTCTGGCCCATTCAGCCTCCAGCAGCCCCAGGGCTCCACCTTGCCCATAAACAGAGCCAACAAGTCATGCAGAGCACAGCCCAGGCACCCTACAGAGCCTCATAAAGCATTTGGAGCTGCTGTTCTATCCTCCCTAGACAATTTCTACATAGTAAATTGGTGCCTGAGTTACTTGATGAATCACTGTTCAGTTATTAAACCATAAATCATTCCTCTACCCATCAAAATGGTAAAGGAAGAATCAGAGGAATTAGCAAAGGGACATCATGGTGTCCCACTCTCTCAAGGGATTTGGAGCCATGTGGCCAGTGTGCTGGTGGGAAGGGTTGCCAAGGGGTTTTGGCAATTCAGTAGCCCCAGGTGAGAGCATGAAGATGACCTCTCTGGGGAAGGCAGGGGAGGAGGACAATCCAAGGTAGCTCCTGTGCACCCAAAGGGCAGAGGGAAGGCTTGAGCCAGGTGACAGGAGCACCAACCTCTGCCTGGTCTGTATGGACCCACCCAGCCCCTGTGCCTACAGGTGCTTCTCACCACTCCAGCTATTTGGAGGATTTCCCATTATTCCCTATTTGGTAATAATTTCTTACACATCTAGTGCACAAGTCTAGTCTCAGCTTCTTTTCTTGTCCACTCCAAACAGGAAATCTATTCTCTCCGACCCAAAGATGCCTTCCCTCTACGCCTCCTGGACTCTGTCAACCTCCTCGCTCTCCTCCCAGGGGAGCATCTCAGAGAACGGCCCGAGGCAAAGCAGAGCCCTGAAGCCTGTGCTGCTGCCCCCGCCGGTGCCCCCGCCGGGCCGGAGCGGGGCCGGGGCTCAGACAGCGCTGCGGCGCGGACGGGGCAGCACCAGGAAGAGTAAGTGCTTTGGGGGGCCCAAACCAGCTTTGGGGGGCCTAAACCAGCTTTGGGGGATCCAAACCAGCTTTTGGGGGGTCCAAACCAGCTTTTGGGGGACCCAAACCAGCTTTGGGGGGCCCAAACCAGCTTTGGGGGGCCCAAACCAGCTTTGGCCAGTCTGGAGGGAGGTTCTGCAGCTGTCACAGACAGCTCTGTGGGAGCTCAGTTTAGTATATTATTAGGAATTACTAAGAGAGGAACCCAGAATAAATGAATAAATCTCAGCTGTTTATGGTGAACTCAGACCCTGAGCACTTCATGTATTTCTGGCAATTCAAAAAGCAAACAGTAAAATCAGGAGCAGTATCCAGGAGGATGGCCAAGAGAATGAAATAACTTCTGTCTCAGGAGAAAAATTATTCAGGTTGGAAATATCTGAGACGCATAAAATCATGAATAGCCTGAAGGTGAGAAAGGACACCCCGCCAAAAAACAGCGGCAGGAATTAACCAGGGAGATGTGTGGAGTCACTGCTCGCTGCTGCCTCTTCGCTTTGAGAGGAGCGTTTAGGATCCCTGCTGACTTACCTCCTGCCAACTGTTCTTGCCCGCAGACGGGTCCCTGCAGAGGCCGGGGCAGGCAGGGCTCCCCCCGCACGCTGCCGGCTCCCTCCCGCGTCCCCCCGCAGCGCGGCCGCTCCAGCTGTACCACCAAGGACCCCCCGTCCAGGAGCGAGGCGGCCCCCAAGCCCCCCGCCTCAGCCCCGCCCTCCATCCTGGTGAAGCCGGACACCTCCCGCAGCGGCGCCGAGAAGGTAGGGCCGGGGGTCACCGCGGAGCAGAGGGACCCCAGGCCTCCTGGATGGGTATTTGGTGTCAGCTCAGGACTGACCAGGGTCGAACCCCTCCAGGGCTCCACCCTCCCCGGGGTTTCCTCTGCTGGCGAGCACTGGGATTGGTACCTGCAGCCCCAAATCAAGTATTTGCGGTGCTGACTCTGCTGTTCAGGTCAAGGCCTTTAGAAAAGCAAGATGTTGCAGGAAATCCTTCCATGTAAACCAGTGTTCAGTCACAGTCAAGTCTTGAGACCTTTCTGAAGTCTTAACTCAGGCAAGAATCCCCCTCCCCAAGGCCCCCGGGTGTCTGGGAGTGCACGAGCAAAGGCCAGACCTGCTGTGGGTCCGTGTGTCAGGCTGCTCTGCACAGCCTCTCCCATACCCCCCCGGCTCGGGCTGAGCCATCTGGAAAGGAAATTTCTTTCCCTTTCTGGCAGCCAGAGGGAAAGTTCGTCAAGACAGAATATTCTGCAGGTTGCCCTGACTCGGGTCCCCATCTCGTTGCAGCAAGTGAAGACGGTGAGGTTCCAGAACCACAGCCCCCCGCCGCCCAAGCGGCACAGCCTG